CGCGGGAAACATGTGGATTCCGGGATTAAGCGATGTGGGAAATTTGAGATTTCTTCCGTAAGCAATTTACCAGAGGAAGGGAAAAAGCAAAGGAAGAATTCATGACGACAGTGGGGTTGAGCATCCAGGAACGTCGTTCGCCAAGTGGGGGGCTAAGGAAGGAAGACTCAGAAAATTGAAAGGAAAAGAAGAAAAAAAAAAAAGTCAACAGCTCAAAGAAAAGGTGGATACCAAGGTAGGTACCTTCCCAAGGCTCGCCCGAGGCAGAACGGAGGTACCGGTACTTCGGACAGGTACTTTGTCCCTTCGACACCGAGCGATCCGAGTACTCCTGCCCCAGTGCTCGGGAAAGCCATGCTCTCACCCAACCACACATTTCAGTCTTTCACCTCCAGTTTCCTCTCACTCGGCCGACTTTTTTAGAGGCTGGAAATTCTCGAGCTTACCCAGATTTGCTCCATTCGCTTTCCGCTCGGTTTCGCTGGGTCCTTTTCCTTTCCTGGTCGTTCAACCTGGCGGCGGACGAGGCCACGCGGGCATCTTTTGGCTGTGCTTGCTTGAGGCTTGAGTCCCTGGGGGCGGCGCTAAGAACAAGACAGAGCGAGTCGTCGTCACCTCGACCCCCAATCATTTCGCATTTGGCCTGGTCGGCTCCCTCTGAGCTCTAGGCATGGCCCTGCGTAACTGCGTCGCTATCATCCCTGCCTGCGTGCGCGATTGCGTATGTACTACGCAGTAGTGCAAGGCGATACTGGCGGTAAAGAGAGGCAAAGGCAAGGTCGCTTGTTTGATGCGGCGCCTCGCGTGAGTATTCCGTTGACATCTTGCATCATCATGATCTGGCCTGTTGTCTGGTTTCCATCACCCCCGTCTCCCGACTCTGCAAAACTTGAGATGACATTCATTTGGCGCTTATATGAGGCACATCAAGGGTGATGCCATTATCATGAAGCCTCGATGATGCTGGGATCCTAGCGTCTAAGGGGTCGAGGTCCCTTTTTTCGTTTCCCCTCCCCTCCCCTTTCGTGGCGGTGGACTTTGGGCGGAAGTTGGAACCACAGAGCTAAGGAATGCAGGATACCCTTCGTTCGCGTTCCGTCTTTGAGCCTCGGTGCCGTCGCCGGCGGCCGATGGATTAGATAAGCGCGTCCGGCAGTGGGATTTCGAGAAACAGGGACCTTCAGGGAAGGGATCGGATGGTGGTGTTGGTTGAGTTCGAAGCCATTTTCAAGCCACTGACTGCAAGCCCCATTTTGACAGTGACGTTCTCTAACGCCTTTCGTCAGGCCACCCAATCTGATTCACATCGACGCCGGCATCGACGGGCCAGCGGCCAGCCCGATTATACCGTCCGCTGCTTTCACCCAGAGTCGCAAGCCCCCCTCCCCATGACTCCACGATGGCGCCGTCGTCTCGGCCCAATGACCCGCGCGGGCCACTGAAGTCTGAATTCAAGGGTGCGGCCGCGCGATTGTACCTTGGTGGTGCGCCGATTCGAGAATGGCCCTGAATGTCGGCGGTTGCAGCTACCGCACGCCGATGGGCCTCCGAAACCGAGATTTGCGTCGTCGACATGCAATTCCCGAACCGTAATGTACCGGCGTCAGCTCCGACTTTCGTATTTGGGAGGTCCCAGCCTCGCTTTTTCATGGTTGACCTGCACCTGCACCGTAGAGATAATCTCCATCACAAACCTCGCTACGAGCTTGCGACAATGGGGGCCTCGGCTCGGTACTTGCAGACGATGCAATGATGACGATAATCTCAAAATCGGGTGAGCAGCGGCTGTTTGTTTCACCGAAATGATTTTATTTTCAGGGGTGGACAGCGGCCAAACCAAGGAAGACCGAAGACGTATATGTCAAAGTGCCATTCCGTTGCTTCTTCCTGCTGGATGTGCGACACGTTGCGCGGGGCTGCTGGTAGAAGCCCCGGTCCCCGGGGTGAGCGGTGGGAAGCACGGGTCAAACCGTCAAACAAGATTGTTGGGACGGTTGGTTCGTAGTGATAAGTGTGCCCCGTACCGGGAATCATCAGCCCTGTCGTCCGGGTCACCATCAGCACGCGACACGTCTTGTCTTTCTGCGACTTTTGCTTGGGTGCAGGTGACGCTGCCAAGTGGGAGAGAGTAATTTAGGTACTGCAAAGTCTGTCGCGCGCCGACTTGGACGGGGGTCGGGGGTGGACTTTGCGGGCCTGGACTCGAGATGAAGCCGTCCGCGATTGAATAGACGAACCCATTTCCTTTGTCGTTGTCCAAGGTACGGAGATAGTCAGCAATGAGGTCTTCGCAAACGATGGAAACAATTCATCAACACAGTAGGTAGAGCCTTCGCGAATAAGATTGCCGCTAGGCGAATGGAAGAAAACATGAACAGACCACAGCTTCTAGATCAGCTCACTGATTCCCGATCCACCACGGAGATGTTCCGTAGATGGATGGATGCGATGGAACGACTTTTGCTGTGTTGCTGACCTCGGAATTGTGATCTGTAATCCACAAGAGAATGCGAAGACGAGGGCGGAGAAAAAAAAAATGAAGCAGACTAACGAAAAAATCGAAGCAAAAAATTGGATCGTCCCGGTGTCACCCAGAATTCTTCTTCCTCAGGTACCGGCCGGTAATGGCGCATCATCACGTAAGGCAAGCCCGCCCGCCCATAAAGCGCCAGAGATGCTCCTTCCCGCTCGCGCCACAAGCAGCGCCAGCGGACTTGGGAAGGAACGGAGCACGACGGGGAGCACCTAAGGTACCTTCCCTAGGAAGGTAGGAGTACTTGAAGATACGTACCATTCAGAGCAGCCTCCTACCCGATCAACTGCAGGGAGGTAAGGTGCGCATCGCCCAATCCCTGCACTCGTTTCTTACAAGATATGCCCGTGCGCCTTCTCACTCCACCTTTCCCAGCGTTTTCACCAACGACGAGGGGCCGAACTTGGAAGCCACTGGTGACTCTCTCTTCCTGTACCGCAAATGCCCCGCTCCATAGCGACAAGTACCTATACCCAAGCCGCAGCATCCGAGCTTCCTCTCTCATTTTTCTCTCTCTGATTTTGTGTCTTGTGCGCTCACGGCGCTGCGTGTGACTTTGTTTTCCCACTCTACCGCCCGGGTTGGCGATGGCCCCCAATGGGCAAGCAACAATGGAATCCACTACTCCGTACCGGCATGGGTGAATACGTGAAATACGCAAGTACGTGTACTTCCACTGCTACAGCATCTGCCCGGCTTGTGTCAGTCATCGGGCAGTCAGTCAGTCGGTCAGTCATCACGGACGCAGAAAGAGACAGCAAAGCACAAGCACCGTCTTTTCATCCACCCCGGAAAGATCGACATGAGACCTCGCAGAGACGGCGCCGAAGCTTACCAGCTTTTCGACAGCAATCATGACAGCAGCACTCATGACCAACCAGTCCATGACGATCATTCCCGAGGGCAGGATGATGGAAAGACGGCAGAGCATCATCGACTTGGCATATCTGCCTTGCTATGCTTCGCCTGTTATTTGAATCCCGCGTATGGAGTATTAATAGGGCAAAGCGAATGGAGGAAGCAAAACCTGGACGATATTCTGCAAATCCATGAGCAGTCGTTACAAGCACGAATATACCTGCAGCAAGAGACGCAGTGGAAGACGCAGACGGCGGTGGCCGAAAGACAGACGGAGGGCGGGCGGGATGACGGGAGTACTCGGTACTCAGGATGGTGTTTGCCAAGAAAGGCATGCTAAGGGACTCCAGGGTTGACCTGGGTGAAGCAATAGGTACTGCAGCAGAGCATCATGGCTCCATTTTCTTTTCGATTCGGACTTTTCACTTTGCCCAGTCCCAGCGTCCCACGCACCAAAACGGACCACATACCGCCCGACAGTTACCCCCCCGGTCTCGGTCAGCTGTGTAGGGACGGGAGACTCGCGCCCACAAGGAAGAGAAAGGTGGTCAATGGCACTCCGTACTCCGTACCCACGATAGGTACCTTACAAACCCGTCGACCAGCCCACCCAAGAGACAAAGTCCGCGTACCGTGTACCTTGACGCAAGGCAGTCTGGGTACCCAAGGTACTCGTACGGTCCCTCCCCCTCTCCCCTGGTACCTCGCTCCGGTCCTCACTGTCCTCTGCGAGAAGGGACGGAGAGCAAACTAAGGTCGCCCACACTCCACACACCACAGCGACCATCCACACCCACCAGGCCTTGGTTGCCTTCCACGCAGTCGCTGCACCCAAAAATCTCTCGGCTTCTGACAAGCACCCCGGTCCCCGCCGCTTCCGTAGGCCGGCTTGGGCAGTCTTGGTACCTTTCCGCTGTGTCTTGGGTGTCCTTGGTACTTGTCACTCCACACGCTCTCGTTCAAAGATGGATTTCCAAGAGTCCAAAGGTCCAGAGCGACATTGTCCCAGAGCTCGGCCTCCATCTGCAAAACTCTTGGGACCGTGGACCTTGTCTCTTGTTCTTGTCTCCGTTCTCACTCTATCCCGTCTCTGCCTTACCTTAACCTACTTTGCCTTACCCTGCCGCTTTGCCCGCCTGTTCCGCTGCCTCATCATACATATCAATCTAGTCATCCACACTTTCCGTAACTTTGTCCCTTGTCTCATTCCCTTTTGACCTCCTCTCCTCCCTCTCCAAAATACCTTCCCCCCTTCAACGTCCTTGGTTGTTGTTCATTGATTATTCACCTATTTCCTCCTCCTCCGGAGACGACCAACCAACTCACCGACACTCGAAGCATTAGTGGAATTAGGAATTTTAGGGATTCCAACAGGACGGTTCACTGGGACGTGACGTAGCTGGGTCAGCAAGCAAGACAGATTCAAGACACCACACAACGCCTGCTGGATGGTTCGGTTTTAGTCAGACACAGAAAGTCGACGCACCCCCGGTAGAAGACCAACTCGCCCTTTGGTCCTCTCTACCATCACTTATTACACCTTCCAGCTTCGCCCCTCGCATTGCGTCGCGACTCTCGACTTCCTTCCCCTCCGAGGGCATTGGTAGCCATGCAGGACTTCAGCACTTTCCTGAAAGGAAAGCCCACACTGCCATCTCTATGGACCGGTAACATCAACTTCGCCAAGCTCAACCCCATCCCCCACCGATATCGACCCAGTCGAGCAAAGAGAAACCAGAAGAAGCGCGCATCCGGAAACTACGCTGGCGCCGAAGATGTCACTTCACTGCAAAGGTCGCTCAACCCTCTCGACACATTACGGAAACTGCAAAATCACAAGTGGCGCCTCCTCGACCTGCAGTACACGATCCTCGTCGCCCTCATCATTTTCTCGCTCTGCATTACGCCCTCAGCGCCACTAATCAAGACCCTCGCCGTCACTGGAGGCCTCCTGCTTTTGACGATACCTGTTACGAGCCAGTTCTTCTTCCCAGGATTGAGTATATGGGCATACCTCATCTATTTCTTTTGTAGCCGGTAAGTCCTGTTGCTTGTGGTGTTGCCTAGCTTGGATGCTAATTGAACATCAGCTTCATTGATGCGAAATACCGCCCCCACATCTGGGTTCGCGTCCTCCCCGCCCTCGAGAACGTCCTTTACGGTGCCAACCTCTCCAACATTCTGTCCGCCCACACCCATCCGGTTCTCGACATCCTCGCCTGGATCCCTTACGGACTCGGCCACTTTGGCGCTCCCTTCATCTGCGCTGGCTTCCTCTTCCTCTTTGCCGCTCCCAAGACGCTTCCGATTTTCGCCAAGTGCTTCGGATGGTTAAACGTTCTCGGCGTAACCATCCAGCTTGTCTTCCCTTGCACTCCTCCGTGGTACGAGAATGAGCATGGTCTCGCTCCGGCTGCGTACGGCATGTCCGGATCCCCCGCTGGTCTGGCCCGTATTGACGCTATTCTCGGCATCGATATGTACACCACCAGTTTCTCGACCGCTCCGGTTCCTTTCGGCGCTTTCCCGTCGCTGCACGCTGCGGACGCCGTCATGGAGGCTCTTATCCTGAGCTACTGCTTCCCCCGCTTCCGTCCTCTTTTCGTCATCTACGTTGGATGGATTTGGTGGGCGACCATGTACCTCAACCACCACTACGCGGTCGATCTGGTTGGTGGCTCTCTGCTCTCCGCCGGAATTTTCTACTTCGCCAAGGCCCGATACTTGCCTCAGCAGCAGGCTGACAAGAAGACTCGCTGGGAGTACGACTACGTTGAGATTGGCGAGCAGACTAAGGTTTTCGATGAGGAGTACGGACGGATGTATAACATGGGATACCTTCAGCGCCGCGGCAGCTCCGATAGCGATGAGTGGACAGTTGGTAGCAGCTCCAGCTATAGCACATCCAGTCGGGGTAGCGGAAGTTTGAGCCCCGCCCTTTCCGAAGAATCCGGTCGCAGCATTTTCAGTATCGAGATCAGACCCGACAACGACAGATACGACATCCCCCAGCTCACAGAGGTGGCTGTGCGATAAACCACCTCGTCGCACGCGCAGGCCTATTCAGAAACACGATGCACAAAGCGACAGTGCCGCGAGCCCGAAAGGCGATGGCGCCGGATCAACCCCGTAGCGCGCATTGGGAACACTCGGACGATTCTTCGAAACTACGTACCCAAACACCCCCCTTAACCAATACCTCTTTATTCGATTCTCATTAGCACTTTTTTTCTTCACTCAAAACGGATACCACTTTGGATTACCTGTACCATTTGCATCAGAAGCACAGCAACGGCGCAATAGTGGTTTATTTTTACAAACGACAGTAACGGCCGGAGACACAACGATCTCGACAGGCTTAGGAGTAACGGCCTCATGGATGACCACAACAGCAGAAGAGAGACCCATGGAGTAGGGGAAGGGGCATGAATGGAAGAGATGGGGGACATGGGACGATATAGAGTCCCCCCGTACATATTAATGTGTTCAATGTCGAGATCCAGCTCTACATCGTCCGGCATTAGGCAGGATGAGATGGAGATTGATCTCTGGCGCCCGACCAGCAGGAAGGCGGGCCCTATGTAATGTGGAGGCACGAAGGGGAAGAGTATACCACCAGTAGAGGTAGAGCAGTCGCTACTGAAGTAGTTGATGAGGTGAAGAAAGAAAGAAGAGATTACCTATTCTCTCGATACAATTATTCCCTTGAATCTGTAACGTTTCGCCTTCTGCAGTCCGCCTCAGTTCAGTTCGGACTGAGTTCCAGGCCATGGACAGCAAGCTGGGGTAATAGCCCGCATTCCGACGTCGAGTGGTCGCCGATCATCTACGCCCCCATTCCATGGGCTCTCACTCTCAACTCTCCATTTCCCCAGCTTGCAGCTGACCCCCCCCCCCCCTCACCCGGCTCGGCCGGCCAAGTAGGTTGCGCGGCCCACGGCCGGGCTTGTGAGCTACGGCACCACCACGGCACAACCGGCAAGGATTTCATGGTGCTGTGTAGAGAAAGTTCTGTGGCGTTGAGATGGCGCAGACGGCGCAGACGGCGGGCTTAGATGGACAAGGTGGAGAAAGAGAGGGGACGAATGCAGCGGAGGCACGGAAGGGCTTGGGAGTGAGGGAACGGCAAAACGGGAATGGAGCAAAGTGACGCTAGAGCCAAGACCCGAGCGATCGGGTCCGGCAAATTGAGCCTACGAATTTATCCCCGCTCTCAATTGCGGGTTTTGCTTGGTGTGCTTGGTTTGGCTTTTCCATGGTTCTGGTTGTGCAAAGTTGCCAGGTTGGGTTTTGTGCTGCGCCGATTTCTAGGGGCCGAGGGGACCGGGGGGGTGGAGGGCCGGGGGGTCCACTTCGCCGAGCAAGGATTCTTGGCATGGGGTTTCTTCGTTTCTTCGTTTCTGTCATTTTGGGTACATTTCTTGTGAAGTTTCGTCGCCTCTTCCCATGCATGAGAGACTATGAGAAATTCGTCGCAGATATTCATCATTCTCACACATTCCATCCTCTTCCCATCAAGTCAGCCTCAAGTAACTTCAAGGCTGACAGAAACACGTGAGACGCAAGTGGTATGAACATTCATCTAGTTTGAGGTGCCTGTGCTTCTCGGGCTTTGCTCTCAAAGTCGAGATCTTTTGTGACAAATTCTCAGTTGTAATAGTCTTTACCTTCTAGCGGCACATTCAGTTCATGAGCCATTTGGGCATCGAAAAGAGTCCCGTGGTCTCGTTTGAGTTTCCAAAAAGGTTGTTCCAAGCCGATCCCAAATCCCACAAACCCTGTGTTAGGGGATCTTAATCTTTGCGCCCCCCCTCCCCCATTCAACCTCTCTCAGTTTCTGATCCGTTTTTTCCATCCATCTTTTGATTTTGAATAGTATGGTGAAGAGACTGGTCCATTGGCGTCGCGCACAATAGATTCCGAGGGCACCCAACATGCCCGACCAAAACATGACTCGAAACCAAGAGTAACAAAGCCTTCGAGCGGCTAACCTCCGGTCTGGATTGAAGTTCGCAGGCCGAATAAACATGTCTAATTCTGCGACAACCCAGAAAAAAAGAGCGAACCATGATGGTAAAAGCGCATGCTGTGCTATTGTCATGCGGTGCCATGCGGATTGGAATCGCCACATGAGAAACATGTAGATTATCGCGCCGAACACGACGATCACCGATATATGGATACCGAGATATTCTGGATATCTCACAACGTTCATCACGCTGTCCGGGAGTATCAAGCCCCAAAGTCTCCAGAATAGCGGAATTGGCTCCTGTCTCGAGCGTGTTCTGATGGGAGACAAGGGTCGGAGGACCTCTCCATCGCCTCGGCCGCGTATCAGGGGGTCCATTCTGGAAGCTAACTTCACCGACTTTTCTGTTATTCTCAGCGTGGACGCGATGTTCTGTCGGACCTTGGCGAAAGAGACGATGTATCCGACTCCGTATGACCGGGCCACCAAGATGCCCAGTACGCGTCTTAGTCTGGTATCAACTACCCAGGATCCTGAGTCTCCCGCTTGAAAGTCTTTCGGTGTTATGTTAGCAAATTTGCGGTCTTCTGCATGCCTGAAGAACAATGGGGTACCATGCCTTGACTGGGATCATCTAGTTCAACAATCCAGACTTCCTGAACTTTCTTACCTCCCCTGGAGATCATGAAAGTTGAGTCTGGGCAAAGACGGCCGCGCAACAAGCCGCTCCGACCCGAAATTATCCATACCGCCTGGGGTGACGGTGACTTATCGCGATGCCCAAATTCTTCGTCCAAATCAGAGCAGACGCCTTCGATGAAAGGATTTTGCCACTGGGTTGGCTTCCCCATGCCTTCTGGGATTCTGTTTGGGAGTAGAAGGTGGGTTTGAACAGGGACGAGGAGCCAGTCGTCACCGTTCTGTAGTTCGTCTTCTTCGAACTGGCTTGTGAGGTATCCTTCCTTCTCAGCCAAGTCTTCTGGCATGATCTCCCTCGAGACCGCTGCGCCTTTCTCTTCTGGATACGACTCAGCTTCTGTCGTGATAGATGCATCCGCATCTCTCGATGCCATTATTTTAACCTCTTCTGTGGTTCTTGGTATGACATCGCTAGTACTATTATCCAACGACACAGTCTCTTGGAGCTGTCTCATGTTCTCGCGCTCCTCACTCGCACCATCCGATCCGAGGGGAGTCAACGAATCCGAGTCCTCACTATCAGTGTCAACGTTGTAGATGACGACCGACCTCGCTTCTGAATTTCCCTCGTCATCGGCAGAATTCTCAGAGAGCTCGTCGTCTTTATGCGGCATATGGCTTGTCGTAAGAGCGTAGAAGCTACCTCTGATCGAAAGAAGACCGCCTATTGTAGATGTCCTCTGTCCTAGACTGGGTGTCTGTACGATAACAAGACTGCCGCAGAGGGTCCGGTGCAGGGCTGGATCGCGGATCGCGCAGGTAATTCCAAGTGCGGCGGGAAGAACTCCCTTCTTGTGGTAGCATAGATGAAGCGGGGTGAAAATATGCTTGTTTTTGGACATGATCTTGTGGAAACGGCGCATCTGTCCCCAATCATCGAGACCATCGATGCGGATGCGAGTCGGAGTCTTTCGCATCAACTCTAGCTTGCTAGCGAGGGTTTTAAATGGACTGCTGGTCTGCGTCGGAGATACAGAAACGAGGACTGGCACAATGTCCGGCAAATCGAAGTGATGATTATCGAAAAGCTCTTCTTTGTATTCGTGGAGAATACGCACGAACTCCTTCAAGATATTCTTCTCTTCTGATTTGAATACTGCATTAGGATCAATCTCTGCTTCAGTGCTGACATTCTCTGGGAATTTCGGCGTCAATATAACTTTGAGCAGTCTATGCGGTACCCTTGGCGTCGGGGTCGAGGTCGAGGTCGAGGTCGGGGCCGTGGTGGTTGATGGCATTGTCGGCGCCACTGCTGGAGGTGAGTTGCCAGAAAGAGCTGGGGTCAGCGCAGGATTGGGGACATTAAAGATTAAAGGGCGATTCGAGATGCCGATAAAGTCAATGTACTGCGCCCGGTGTCAGACTCGACGACGTGGATCTATTGGTCTCTAAAATAGACAGTGCAGTCATGTGGCACAGTCGAGTACGAGGCGCGAGGCAGACAGGAATCCTCAGCCTGATCTGGGGATTCCAAAAAAAAAGTCGCATCGAAAAGCATAGATTTCGAACGATGTTTCTTCTCAACAATACGTCGCCTCACAAGTGCTCGCAAACTACTTGACTTGGATCATTGCAAGTCTTCGTTTTGCGTCAAAATGGCTGAGAACGACACCCGATCGAATAATAGAATGATCGCCGATGCGATCTGGGAACCATGCGATTCGAGTGCGGCCGTCTCCATTCAAAATGGTCAATTGAAGAAGTTCTTCAATCACTGTGCACGGCAGCAATTATCACTTGACAACTCCGCCGACCAGCCAAGCTCGGTCAATTCTATGGATGAGATCGTAAACGCCATACAATTACTTAGATCGAAGCCATCAATCTGTAAAGATCAACTGCTACAGCAATCGTCCTCACAAGCAAGCAATATGGCATCAGTTGAGTGCGCGGTACGTATGATGCTCATGACGGAGTGCGAAACCGAGGGAACTGTAGCCATAGGAAGCCGCAATGTCTATCGGTGGGGCGGCAGCGAGACGTTGGTGGACTACTTGAGCCGGATTTATCCACGGTCTACTTCAAGCAATGCGTCTAAAGATCCCGTTGACCTCAAGAATCTCAGATGCCACGTTCTGGCTAGGGATGCTGGTGTGAAAATCCAGCATACCGAGAAGCTATCAGATCACCTGAACCTAGCATGCCGCCCCAGGACCAAGGTGCTCTTGGTTTTCTCTCATAAGGCATTCCTCGAACACAGCCTGGAGATAGTGAAAGCGACCCGCCCGGATCTGAGCCATACTAACCACGACGCATTGGCACTGTAAGTTCTCATGAGACCATAATCAACGGTGACTTCTTAGCTAACGTGGCATCCAGAGGCTGTCTACCCGCAAAGCTCATCGACGAGACGCTGAGAACTTACAATCTGCTTTTCCCGCTGATTGGAAGCACCAAGTCTCAGAAACTGTGGAAAGGCTGGGTCAAGCGCGAAAACTTGGACCCAAGTCTCTTGAAAGCCTCCTCTGGCCTCTCCAAGAAGGGCACACCACGAACATTACACGATCTCTACGAGGATTTCCCATACTGGGCCCCCCAGTTGGCCCGTCTGCTGGAAGAAGTCGATGATCCGACTCCGACTACTCGGTGGGAGAGATACGCAGAGCGGAGAAAGTCTCACCGACATACGTACAAGTGCGCCATCGCCGCGCTCGTGGTGGCTGCCGTCTCGGGGACGCTGGCGACATTGTTGGCAGCTGTTCAGGTGTGGATATCGTACTGTGATTGGGACAAGAATACCAACAAGACACTATGTTAACTCGAGTCCGCCATAGTTTCGGAGCGAGAGAAAGGCATTCAATGTTTTTCGTGCTTAGAGCGTAAAGAAGTTTAGTATGCCATACATGATGGACTCGGGCAAGTCACGCCACCGCACAATGAAGAAGTGTTGATCATTCGTCATCATTGCGACTAGCTAGCTAGCAGGCCAAGAGCCAGACTTTCTATCTTCCTCCGCGTCTGTGACCCGCATGAAACCCTCGCATACGAGGGGCATACATTAGGTATCGATCCATCCAACGCCTGAAACGAAATAAAAGCAAAGCCAATGATAGCCTTAACCCCCTCCAACACTTGTGCCTCATCCAGTCCCTACAGTATGGCTTGCAAGAGCGGCTCTCTCAAGATGTAGAAGCCTCGTCGTTGCAAGTAGAGCGAGAGTCAGACAAAGTTCGTGGCGAAGGTGGGTATGAGCGGGTGAGACCGTAGACTACATCATCAAAACTCAGTGTGTACTTTTCCATCCGGTACAATGCATGCAAGAAAGAAAACAAAAGTGACCAAGTAGGTATCTGCGAGCTTTCACAAGTAGACTCGCTCGCCACTGTGGTCGACAAAGCCAAATCGCACGGCTCTGCAACCGGTGTATATACTCTGACAGGTTTTATGGGCAACTTTGATATGCTGCGCGAGCATCGTTGACTACAGCAGCTATGCTACTTGAAGCCATGTCGAAAGGGCTGACGGAACGGCTTCTTCCCGAAACTGGCAGACTTCTAAGCGCCAGGCACCGGGACGGGCGTTTCCTTCTTGCTTGATTTGGGCTCGTCTGTCTTCTCCGACTTTCTCTTCTTGCGCTTCTCCTTCTTGGGCGTCTCCTCGGCTGCGGGAGATGACTTGGAGGGGATCTGCGGGATTGGGACCGCGGATTCGCGACGAACACTGGGTGGAAGAATAGGTGTCTCCTTGCGGGTCGAAGCAGGTTCATCAGCCTTGGACTTCTTGGAGCTCTTCGACTTCGGCTTCGGCGTCGAGGTCTCGAGGGCCGGGCTGGATGCGGCGGGGAGGCTTGAGAAGGAGAAACCGGGTTTGGGGACGGTCGGCGGCGGAATGGCCGTCACTTTCTTGACAGAGTCCTGGGCGGGAGTGTCCTGGGATGAAGCGTCACGCTTGACCTTCTTAGTCTTCTCCTTGGATGACTGGGCCGGGGTGGATTCTTCGTCTGTGGGCAGCTTGCGCTTAGATGCCTTCTTGGACTGGCTGGGAGTGGCGAGGGTCGGCTTAGCGTTGGATCCCACACTCGAGATGGACTCGATGCTATCGCGTCGCTTCTTGCTCTGCTTCTCCCTGGTCGCGGGCAGAGGCTGCGAGTTGGGTACCTCGATAATGGTAGACTGAGAGTCCTCGACAGGATCCTTGGCGACCTTGGACTTCTTCTTATCCTTCTTTGAGCTCTTGGGGGTAGGCTCGTCGATATCCATGGCATCATCTGCCGGAGCTGCAGGAGTGGATGTGTGCTTGGACTTTTTGGTGCGGGTCGGCAGAGCAGGCGTCGAGGTCATCTCGACGTCTTCGTCGGAGGATTCGTCAAAGCCGATCTTTCCCATCGGAGTGTCATCAGGGACACCAATAGGGTGGAAGCGAGCTCTCAGACCCTGCGGCTGGGGACGGGGAAGGTTTGGCTGAACGGGTCTGGGAGCGCTGGGCTCGCTACCAACCAACTGGGTCACGCGCTTGACGTGCAGAACCTTGTCGACCTTCCTGGAAGCTAAGCTGTGGCGTTAGCAATTTGGTCTAATGCGCTTGTTTTGTCCTCCTTACCTGTCTCGTAGCGATTGCCCTTCTTGTTGGGAATGAGAAGCTCTACAGCAGTGGCACCCACGTCGAAGCCGACAGTGTAGTCCTCCGAGTTGTGCTTGAAAATGGCGTCTCCCTTGTGCGCCTTGTCCAAGGGAATCTGAAGCTTCTCAACGATATTGATGGGGATGGAAGCGGGCGCGGTGAAGTACCACAGCTGCTTGCCGTCGAGCTTGGCCTTGGTGAAGAAGTCGGTCATATCCTTGCCATCCTCATCGCCTTGCGCTTGTCTCAGAACAAAATCCTTGCCAACGAATCCAGGAACGTTGAGGTCCTTGCTGTTACGTCTGGGGGCAACAGCAGCAGCAGTCTCCTTGTTGGTCTCTTCCTCCTCATCAGAACTGGAGTCCCCCTCTTCATCTGCCTCGTCCTCTGCGCTCTCCTCGCCACTGCTGGAGCTCGCCTCGCTCGAACTGGTCGAGGCCGGCTTGGTCGCCTTCGCGCCATTGACCGCGGGCTTGGCTTTGGGCTTGGTCGTCTGTTCGGCCTCGCTCTCGGAATCACTCTCCGAACCGCTGGAAGAGGTTGTTGAAGCGCCATTGGTAACTGGCGTCTTCTTTGTGGCATTCTGCATTGGCTTCTTCGCAGTCGGCTCGCTTTCGCTCTCACTGTCACTTGAGGACGAGTCTGTGTCGCCCGCCGCCTCTTCCGCTGAGGACTCTTCGGAAGAGCTCTCGGGCCTAACTGGTGCTTTCTTGGTGGCAGAGGGCTTCGCGTTGGAAGTCTTGTGTTCGACGTCGCTATCGGCAACCTCACCGGCCTTGTCGCGCTTGGCCTTCTTCAGAGGAGTACTGGCGGATTTGCTCGACGCCATCTGACCGTTGATCTTGGCGAAGAAATCGGGATTAACGGGACCACCATCATCATCGCTACTATCACTGTTGCTAGAGCTATCGTCGGAATCGGACTCCTGAGCACGAGGGTCGAACTTTTCGGCCTTCTTGGCTTGTGTGCCTCGGGCGAATTTGCTCTTGGGCTTTGCGACTTCTTGGCCTTGCTTCTCAAGGATTGCGCTCAGCGAGTGGACTCCATCAAGCTTGCGTGACGACATCGTGCCTGGGGTGCTTCTGGAGGCAAGGCGAAATGCTGGCGTAGAAGGAAGTGAGGGCGTCGAAGCGACAGGAATGGCTGGGACAGGAATTTTTCGAGGGTCTCGCAAAGATTCAGAAATCTTTGCAGGGATCGCACGGACCAGAGGTGGGGTCGCGGTGGTAGCGGGAACCGCGACGCGGTGAGAGCCAACCCGCGTGTCTGCCGCGCTTCCGGGGGACTTAAAGTGCGTCGGCGTGGGCGTGGGTGTTCGGATGCGCATGAAGGATTTTCCAGCGCGGTTTTTCGGTGTGAGAGCTTCACCTCCAAATCTCATATCGCGATCGCGGGGTCCGACGAATTTGCCTGCCATTTCGGATTGACGCCCACGGTGCTCGATTGAGTGGGGTATTGCAAGTTTGACTTTGGTAGAAATTGAGCAAAAGTCTGCGTGTGAGTTTGGCCAGTTGAGGTTGCGATGAGACGAGAGAAGAAGAAAAAAGAAAAGCTGACCTGGTGTTGGCAAGGTGGAAGCAGGAGGTAAATTGCGAAAGGCAGTCTCGACCTGGGGCGGCTACCTGCCTTGTACAGACTGTGAGAGGTGTGGTGGCGTACCTTGCGATTTGAGCAAAGCCGGGAAGGAGTGTTCTTTCCTGAGGTTATCGTATTGTTGCTTCTCGGCAGGCACATTCAACACCTTTCCTGCCGTTTCCGAGTGTCACGGAAGCAACCTTTGAAAGAATTCATTTGGAAAATCATTGCCCTAGAAGACTTTGCCCTTGCAACTAAGAGATCACAATGGCAACGCCAAAGCGACGCAAGGTCGAGACATCTGAGGGCTCAAGGCGTTAGTTGTCACCCCTGGTGCTGCTTTCAATGGCACCTTCACCTAAGCAACGGCTAACAGCCGAATAGCAATGAGCGCATTTGCTTTGAGGCAACAGTTGCTTCAAGCAAGCCCGTCCTTGTCTCCAGCACCTCAAGCCGAGTCTCAGCCAACCCCTGATCCCCAAGCATCAACTCCTACGCCCACACCCAAAGTACGGTCTCCCGCGAAAGGAAGATTTTCAAAACGGGTTGCCTCTACCGAGGAAGAAAGAATCCAGCACATGGCAAAACCGAATCCCGGGCAGAGTGCATCTACGCCAATAGCAGGAGCGACAGAATCCAAGTATGATCTCCCCGCCTCGCCCTTCAAACATCCTCTGATGACTTCTCAGTAGTCCTAGCGCAGATCCTGACGAGATCGACCCGGCAAAGGTTGGACCTCAGCAGTTCTCGACGTTCAGGCCGAGTAAAAGCAACTCTCGCAGAGTTGCAGGAGGCATTCTAGAGCTGAGACTCCATGACAGCGAGGTAAACACATCCTTGCATACGCTATTAATTCTTTCATTAACAAGTCAAGCGGTTTCTGGTGCTCGGAAGTTATGGTATCAAGGTTCTTGGTGGCGAGATCACCGTAGCAGGGGCAAGCATTCGACCTCCAGATGGCATCAAATGGGTTCATGCCCCTCACTGCCATGCGATCCCGGTGCTGCGCTGCTCGGAGGAGACAAGACTTGAACTGCATCCTCACCCACAGGGTGCAAGTTTGCGCAAGCTTGAACGACTTTCACCTCTCTTCCGAAGTTTGTGGCATGAACCCGAGGGTAAAGCGAGCAAACGAGGCGCAAAGACCGATACCTACAAGATTGTTAGTTTATATATTGGACGGCTCGAATCCCTCGCATACTAATCATGTCTAGATTTGTACCTCTGAAGATGCGCCGAAGCGAGCTCTGATCCAGGATCTGCGATCGCATCCCGCTTGGAACAAGAAATTGGCGGGGTTAACGAAGGCGAAACCAGATCAGCCAGCCCTCAGCGTGATGCTTTGCGGCCCCAAGTCGTCCGGCAAATCCACCTTTGGCCGTATCCTGGGAAATCGGCTGCTCACGGGCGCTGGTCAGCAAACTCGAACCCGGAAAACACCACCCTCAGTCGTTGTGATGGAGCTAGATCCTGGGCAGCCAGAGTATACTCCGGCAGGTACAGTCGCCTTGGTTCAGGTCAGAGAACCCAACTTGAGTCCATCTTTTGCCCACATTGCGGCGAACGAGCAGAATGTGACCGTTATAAGATGTCACTCAATAGCTTCGGTTTCACCTGCGTCCGATCCAGAGCTCTATCTGGAGTGCGCACTCGATCTGTTTCGACGCTACCAAGACACATGTAAAGGGCTGCCGTTGATCATCAACACCCCGGGTTGGGTCTTGGGAACAGGGCTGGACCTACTAAGTGAGCTCGTATCGACGATCAAGCCAGCCGAGGTGATCTACATGTCCGAAGACGGCCCTAGGGAGACCGTCGAAGGCTTGCAAGCGGCGTGTAAGACGGTTTTTACGCTGCTTCCCTCGCAGCAGTCAGAATTCACTTCTAGAACTGCGGCACATCTACGTTCGATGCAGGCGTTGGCGTATTTCCACACCAAGAGAAACCCGTCGAATCAGCTGCTGTGGAACCCTACTCCGCTTTCATCATCGCCTCCGTTGATGGTCGGCTACAAGGGGAAGAACCGCGGAATCACTGGGATCGTCAGCTATGAGTACCAACCGCCGGCAGACCTTCTTGCAGAGACTATCAACGGGTCTATCTTATGTCTGGTCGAGACCGAGGATGTCAGAGCATTCACTCGTCTAGCTAGAGAGAGCAGCGACTCTACCGCTGTGACATCAAACGTTGACGTGATGGACATCGATGGTATCGCGCTGGACTTAGAGGCGATTGTCGCCAGGACGCCTGAGGGAATCCCTTATATCCCAAATACCGATGCCCAAACTCTGGATCCACGATACGCGCAAACTTTGGGCCAGGTGCTACTACGAGGCATCGACACAAAGACCGGCGCATTAGAGATCCTCACACCGATACCCCTGGAACGTATCGAAGCAGCCAAAGCAGCGGGCCACCACTTGATGCTAGTCCATGGCAAGCTCGATTCCCCCGGCTGGGCGTACACGGAAGACCTGTACTTCCAGTCCTTCAACGGCAGTGATGTAGATAACTCCAAGTATGACACGGTGGAAGTCATGGACGAGGATACGGAGAGCGACAAGTCAGACGAGGAGCCCGAAAACCTCGAGCTTGCTGGCGATGTCAGCGACACGCCGTGGATCGAGGTCCTCCAGGGCCACGAGAAGCGTCCCGTGGGGTCGAGGGTGTGGAGAGTCCGGCGCGATCTCGGGCGGGCCGGGCCGGGCGCTGAATGAAATAGATAACACGGATATCATTTACCGGTACTCTAGAAGAAGGTCCGGTGAGTATCTACCTTTGTGGAGCAGAAACTTAAGATAACTGTAGCCGGTGGGCTGAAAGATACCTCATTGTGTAAGGCAGAGGCGTCTCAATATCCGTACTTATCAGTGGCGTATTGGATAGGTACCGCTGACACAGCGGAATTACGGGAATGCACCCCTCCACATGGAAAGTTAGAATGCGGCGGCTTGCATCCACATTTCTAGGTACTCCCGTCCGTACATGTGTGGCACGCACACACCGTCCCGCGCATGCCATGTGTGTCTTGAGATGAAGTGCAGCCCGATGCAGTGTGGCAGTCCATTCAGGGCGGCCGCATTACAAAGTACCCGAGTACCTACTTTATACAGTGACACGGTACCTAAAATGAGTGAGTCCCTGCATTGGGGATTTACCCCACATCCCCCGATGACGTCCGTGAGTTACCTTGGGTTGAGGTCCCCCAATTGTGCCCCTCCCTTCGGCCCCTCCCCCTCTTTGTCATGCTTTCTCATCGCTTATTTCCTCCAAAACTTTAGCCCCCAGCGGCAGTTTTCTGCGGATAGGTGGACGTCCAATGGTGCTACACGCAATCCAGATGATGCTCCGAAGAAGCTTTAATCCGTGGACTTGCCCCCCGCGAGTGATAAATCCGCCCGCGATCGTGGGGAAATTAAAGCCTGCCGTATTTCATATATGAATTAGTACTTTTAGACTATTACTGATCCAACTTATCTATCCTTCATCTCGAATAATCTACTTCACCTGCTTCCCATCACTGCTGTTCTGAATCTCTAAACTCCTGGTAATGCACAAGATGACTGAGCTCCCAGAAAGCAAGGTCGATGTCCTCGTCATTGGGGCAGGCCCTGCTGGGCTGATGCTGGCTCTCTGGTTGTCCCGACTCGGTGTCAAGACCCGTATTGTTGATAAGAGGACCGCCAAGGTCTACTCTGGGCAAGCAGATGGGTGAGGGGATCGGCCACCTGTACGACACGACAAGTTCTCACATAAATCACAGTTTTCAAGTGAGATCTCTCGAGATCCTAGACAGCTTCAGCATCGCAGAGCGCGTATGGAAAGAAGCAAACCGCATGCTCGGTAAAGCCCAACCTCACCTCTCATGCCCTGAGTAGGTAGATAGATCTCACTAACACCACCCACAGAGGTCAGCTTCTGGAACCCCGACGAGAACGGCATAATCCAGCGCAGCGCCAAATCAGTAAACACGATCCCAGGACTCTCCCGCTTCACCGAATCGGTTCTCCACCAAGGGCGCATCGAGCAATTCTTCATCGACGGCATCCGCGCCTCATACCCGTCCAACGAGACACCCCTACAGGTCGAGCGCATGGTCATCCCGACCTCGCTCGAGATCGACGAGGCTGCGGCCGAGGACTCGGAGGCGCACCCTGTCACGGTCACGCTGCGGCACTTGACGGAGGAGGAGGCGACGCCGACGCAGATGCTGAGTAATCTTAACGATGGCATCTTTCGGAGTAATTTGGCTGAGGACGATGTCGCGGGGATTTTGGACAGGTCTAAGGGAAGAGAGGCGAGGGATGAGGTTGTGAGGGCCAAGTATGTTGTTGGTTGCGATGGAGCGCATTCGTGGACTAGGAAGGCGCTGGGGAAGGAGTTTGAGATGAAGGGGGAGAGTACTGATGCCATTTGGTGAGTGATCGTGCGATAGCGCGTGGTGAGGTGTTGCGCTGACGGTAAATTCTAGGGGTGTGATGGATATCGTTCCCATTACCGACTTCCGTAAGTTCTCACATCTGCCACAGCGATGTGGTATGCTGACGTGAAACAGCCGACATCAGGTTCCGAACCATGATCCAGAACACGGCCGGCGCGCTGATGATCATCCCTCGCGAGAACAGGATGGTTCGTCTCTACATCCAACTCAAGGAGGTCTCGGCGGGCGGTGGCCGCGTCGACAGGTCGCAGATCACACCGGAGATTATCTTCAAGTCTGCCCAGAGAATCTTCAGCCCATACAAGTTGGAGTACCACTACTGCGACTGGTGAGTTTGACAAAAGTTCTCTTTGCAGCGGTGGATAGGCGCTGACGTGCTGTTAGGTGGACGGCCTACCAAATCGGTCAGCGAACAGGCGACCACTTTAGCAAACTCAATCGCGTATTCCTCGCTGGGGGTAAGAAAAAACTCCCATATTTCAGCCCACCATCTATCTCTCTTAGGAGCTAAACCATTCGATGTAGACGCCGTGCACACGCACTCCCCGAAAGCCGGCCAGGGCATGAACATCTCGATGCAGGACAGCTACAACCTCGGCTGGAAGATCGGCCTCGCGTGCAAGAACATCCTCCCTCGCGACGTCCTCTCGACGTACGAGCTTGAGCGCAAGAAGATTGCAAAGGACCTCATCGCATTTGACGGCAAGTTCTCCAAGCTCTTCACGGGCGCGCCGCCAAAGGATATCCAGAGCGAGACGGGCGTGTCAGACGATGTGTTCCAAAAGGCGTTCCATACTAGTCGGATGGTATGTATATACACCCGCTCCCAGCATTTCCTCCGGTTCCCCTAGTATTGAGATGGGGGTTGAGTGAGTGCGACGATGAAGCTGACGTAGGATATCACAGTTCACAACCGGCGTCGGCGTAAACTACCAACCAACCGTCCTCGTCGCCAAAGAAGCAGACCCAGACCCAGAAACCGAAGACGACTCACCCAACACCCTTACAAAGAGCACCGCGAAAAGCACCCAATCCCTCGCCACAAACTGCAAACTCGGCCAGCGCTTCCCCTCCTACAAGGTCATCCGCCAATCCGACGCCCGCCTCTGGGAACTGCACCACAAGCTCCCCTCCAACGGACGCTTCCGCCTCGTAGTCTTTGGCGGCGACATCTCCCAACCCACCCAGCGCGACTCCGTCAACGCTCTCGGCGCATGGCTGTCGAGCTACCTGCCCAAGCTGCCGACCATCGGGCTCTGTCCCGCGTCGGATCCGCATAGCGGGCAGATCAAGTTCAAGACGGACGCGGATCCGAGTATTGTTGACGTTGTGCTCGTGCACTCTGCGCCGCGGAACGAGGTTGATTTACTGAAGGATGTGCATGAGGCGTATCATCCGTTTGATAGTAAGCTTGGGTGGGATTATGACAAGGTGTTTAGTGATGGCAAGACGTTTTATGAGGAGCCTGAGAGAGCGTATGAGAAGTATGGAATTGATTCGGGCAAGGGTGCTGTTGTTGGGCTGCGACCGGACGGGTATGTTGGGCTTGTTACTTCGGTTGGCCATGATGGGGCGGAGCAGATTCAGAAGTGGTTTGATGGTATATTTCAGAGATCATGAGATGTTACCAGGCATCAGTCCTGAATACATAAATATCTGTCGATGGGACATGAGAAATGTGAAAGGAATGTGTAGTTAGATGAGCCTCTGCTGCTGAGCATTGACTTGCCATGATGATGCTTGTTATTAGAGCTCGGGATATACGGTATATACCTCATCATTCTTCTAATTTAGGACATATTGGATCTCAAGTCCCATCATAGAGTGTATAAGGTAATAGCTTATGAAATCTGAATTGTGTGATTAAGCAGACAAGGAGTGTGTGTCATCATGCCGCAGGGGTTGAGGCATCAGAGTCCGCAGAATCGGTATCCGTACTGTACTGAGTATTAAAAGAACCATCGTCACATGAGAGTTATGGATCATCAAAGAAACGAAACGGCAACGTGATTGGCTTTGAAGGGTAAATGCCTATTCATGCCTCAAAGGCAAACGCTCCTGAGGTTGGACGCGTCGGGCTTAAGATTCCTGGCGCCGAGGATGAGATGGCTTAGGCGACGCGAGGTGTGGCCTCTCATTGGCTGCCACTGAGGTAGGGCATCCCCCTCAGATTACAATTAGATGACCTGGCATCTCTGTGACTACAATCAGTTTTCTCCTCCAACATCTTATTTTCATTTTCCTACTACCTACTCAAGCTTCCATTACATCTTGCATCTGCCTTCTCCCCCTTTTTTTCATCGTTTTCATCGTCTTCATCCATACCCTCTAGAAGTCTAGATGGAATGCCCCAACCACCTCATGAGAGTCTATCCACAGCGTTCATGCGTCACAAATGGCTCAGCCCCTGACTCCCAATATCCCAAGCACAATACCACGAAGCCACGCTGTACTCCGCAGAAAAGATCATGACACAGACTCGAAAGAAATTGCAAACCTCCTCGATCACATCCCCGGCATCCCATCCATGACGCGATTCTCAGGCAAACCCCTCTCATCGACAACATGAGACGAGATAGCCACGCACCATTCCTTGAACACAGAAAGGAAAAACAACAAAGAGAACCCATTCATATCGCTCGCTCGCTCGCTCTCGTTTCTTCGTTTCCATCTCTTCATCACGATCCGCGGTTCTTCCCGAAGACCGGACTTGTTTTGGTGTTGATGCCTCATTTCTGCGGCATGAAAAGGGTGGGGCTCCCGGCCGACCTCGGAAGTGAGGTCACCCCTGCAACCTCCCGCGCACAGACCATGCTATCACGTAAACCGACCCTCACAAACCTCACCAGAGGTTGAGATGACCGGGCAGGTTGGGGCGACCAGAATGATGATGAGGAGTCGCGACACCTTGATACAGTATTGCGGCCGACACTGACTTGACTTTCAGGGCGACCGCATCACTATTCCGGAAATTGCGCCCCAGCACCTAGAAGGGCTTCCGTCTGAATATGATTGGGCGGGGCTTCTCCCTCAACCGCCTGAGCGCCGTGGGGAATGAGCTGGTCAACCAGCATGACTGCGTCAACGTCACGCTCGATTCGGCTTTCTAGTCGCTCGCGATTCCCAGCACGATCGCTGCTCAGCAACTCAAGGTCGATGTCTTCCTCGAAGTTCCGGAGGCGATCCGCAGCCCCAATTCTAGCTTCTTTCTCTTGGGAGGGCTGTTTTCCCGAAGCAACCCTACGCAACCCCGATATTAGCCAAGCCGAACCACGACGCAACCGAACGAATGAATAAAATATGAGGAAGGAAACGGATGATGGATAATATGGAACTTCTCTCCAGCACAAGACTCAAGCTGTGGCATGCCTGACGTCGAGTTGGCCTTGAGCGTTGGGTCTAGAACCGTATGCAAACCTGCGAACCCGCGGGACCCAGAGCAGCTTTGCTCGCGGCGCGAATCTGGCAAACGATGGCGGTAAAGCCCCATGAAACTGTGCACCCCGTGCCTCCACATCCGAGCCGGCATGGCATACGCGCCCATGAGGCGGCGTAGAGCTGGATTTGGGGAGGGATGCCGAGATACCAAGAAGAAGTCATGGTGCTCATGGAGCAGCGTGCGGTGCAGCGCTACGGAAGAGTGCAAGAACGAGATCTGGTACTTACGACTTGGCTGAGCCCTGCCAGGGTGCGATAGAGGCCATGCTGGATCTTGTTGGCCTCGGCGTTGGGTTGCGGGTTGCAAAGGTAAGTCAAGGTGCGCTTGCAAGTGAATGTGTGTGTCGGTGCGATCGGTAGAATGATCCTGGAGCCATTCAAGTTTTCCACGAAGCAGCAGACTGGATGGGCGTAGAAAGGTCGTAATGTTTGCCGGGTGAGGTTGCTTGTGGTGTCAGGGAGTTGTAAGGAAGAGACAACTTTTGGTAGTGACTCGAGATTAAATCTTGCTTTGGTATTGAATGCAACAGAAGCTTTATTTGCGAAAGCTAAACGTCTTGAAGGAGTGAAGAGCTTGAGGGAGGCCAGAGAAAGTGCGAAGTAGGTAGGTAAGTAATGAGGAAGAGGGCGGCGGTGGTGGAAAGCGAAGGAGGTAGAAATGGCACGCTGGTTGTGGTGGTGGTTTTTGGTGGTGGTAACGTTGGGTAAGTGACGGCGGGACAGGAGCTAAGAAGCGAAGCAGTCAAGTCCCCTGTTGTCAACACCCAGGAGGGCGTCTGTCATTTCTGGCTCGGCCTGGCAGGGTCGTGCACGGCGGCGGGGGAGTTACGCTCAAGTCCACCTCAACACAGTGAGGGAGGGGCTCTGCCTCCAATATCCGCGGCCCGGCCGCCAGGAGCGCTGCTGGCGGGGGTCTGCCGCTCCTCGAAAATTTACGAGCTCAGAGCTGTCCGACTTACAAACAGGGCCCCTCTTCGAATAACGCAGGGTCTGATCCCGGTCAAGGAGATCTCCTCGGGGGGAGCGTGGGAGCTGTTTGTCTATGTCCACTGCCATACGTGCTTCCCTTAGGGGGATGAGACTCGTGCGACCCGATACTCGAAAGTGACATGCAAATTCCCAACGCGCGAATCCGCCCCTCTACAACGCAAGGTAAGGTACGTAAGGTATGCTTGTTTCGCTTCCTCTCTGCCGCCCCGTTGAAGATTTTGTCATCGGCCACCTCTAGATGCAATTCTCGTCTCGCGCCCAATGGGGCCAAGGTGCTGATGGTAATCGGAGAGGGGAGACATACCATGCCGACCGTAAAGAAAAAGCGACTTCTTCCATGGACCCTTTACTTGTATACTTGCGCTTCATAATGTTCATTGCTTGACTCTTTGCCCGTTGGCGGCGCTAGTAGCAGACAGCAGCCAGCGGTACTTTTCCATTTATCACAGGTGATGGACCTTCCATGCTTGCACAATTGGGTGACAAGGGGCGGGATGGGGGGCCACCTCAGGTCTGTGCGAATTTGACCTTTCACAGGGACCTAACCTTGAACCCTAGTGTGCCCTGCTGGCTGGGTTTGGCAAGTCTTCATTTTCACACGACAGGGTGCCAAGTTCTAGGCCAGATGGAAGGTTCCTTTTCGTTTTTGTTTCCGCCCTTCTACGTCTCTCGTACCTTGCAAATGGATACACACCTTGGCAATGGCAGGGCCGCCCTTTCCAGTTCAATGGCTTCTCCTTTTCCTCCACGCCCTTATTACCTTTCTAGTTGACCTTGGAGGTCGGCTGACAGTACCTACACGTACCAAGAGGTGAGGTACCTTAGGTAAGTTACTGTAGGTAAAGTACCTGACCTTGAGATACTCCAAGTTGAAGACTGCCACGCAGAACGAAGGGGCTTGGTAAGGTGTGCAACTAGAGATTTCTGAACAACGCCAAGTGGCATGCGATGGTGGTAAGCCGACCCGGAGGCGGAAGCAAGAGAAGACGGGAGTAAGCAAATGGCGGGGGAGTGCATGGCCTTGTTCGCTCTGACACCTCATGCGCTCGCAATTTGACTTGCAAAGGTGACATGCTGGAGAAGAAATCGCAAGTTTCAGGCAACGTACCTAATGAGAAGCGTGAGGTACCAAGGTAGGGCGATAAGAGCGGCGGAAGGAGAAATGTGAGACTGCGCAGTCGAGCAACATCGGTCAGCCGAATAAGGGGCCTGGCACCTACCTGCCTGAGAAAAGTTGGAGAATGAAGGAAAAGAGCCAGGGTCAGTCTCCGGAGAGGGTGCGGCCAGCCCAGGACTTCAACGTACATACCTGTCGCCGACGCTGACTGGTCGAGCTTCCCCGTCGCCATTTGCGCAGCTCCCGTCTTGACGACGTCGGAATTCATGAGATAGGATCGCGGTCAGGTATCGGTGCGAGGATGTCCCTAGGATTGGACCTACCGATGAGGGGAACCAAGATTGAAGAATAATACCTTACCTAGCGCAAGACAAACATGAATCAATGTATCGTTTTTCAAGACACGAAACAGGCTTGGTTATCCATGGTTCCTTTTTTTTCTTGAAAATCAACTTTGAAATTTCCTCGCCCGGTCCCTGGCTCTTTGTGGTGCCCTCCTTAACTTTTGCGACTGATCCGAGCCGGTTGACCAACCATGTTTAGACCCCAAGCTTACAGAGTAAGGTGCAGGGTGGTGCCGTGGTGGAGGGGCCGGCTGGCAGTAGATCAGAACAAGGTGATGCGCGGCGACATGGATCTACCTTATTACTCCATTTGTGACAAGTGGATGCTTTCGGCTCAACGAGACATGGCCAGGACTGTGCCTGGCCGGGCAGCCGGGATACATAGGAGCAGGAGAAAAAAAAAAGTCAGCCCCATCTTGGGATGATGCTCTGACTATGACCATTTCATTTCGGTCGGCGAAATTCTGATGGAGCGATGTACCTCGAACGAGGCGGTCGATGACTGCCTACGTCTTTATGAACTCGCAGGTACCTGTCAATACCTGGCCCGTCATGGCACCCTGCGCCTGAGATCGCGGGGACATGATGGACCCATAATTCCTCACTCTGATTAACCACCGGGAAAGACCTTGGCGCGGGCCATCACGAAGAACAGAAGAGGCGACAGGTTTGACCAACAGCTAGCGCCACACTCTCAGTTCCATCGCCCGGTGCTTTATGAAGGTACGTGG